CTGCTTCTCCCTCTCCCACTCCCCCTGCTTGTGTTCCTGCTCTCACTATCTCTCTCTCTGTCAAATAAATAAATAAAATCTTTAAAAAAAAAAAAAAGAAAACTGTAACAAAATTATTTTTTAAAGGACTGGCTAGGAAATTTATTCCCATTTTTCTTTACAATGCCATAAAGAAGAGTTAAATACACAGGAAGGTATTTGTGCTTTATAAACTTGGCTCAACTGGTTCCAGTATGGCTCCCTGTCCCTCCCTCCCTCCCCCTCCCTCCCCTCGCTCCTTGACTGATGCCAGATGCTGTACAGTTGGGAGTAAAGCAAGACCTAGCACGTTGCCTGGTACGTAGCACGCCCCTGATAAAATTTTGTTGGATGGATAAGCAAATGAATGGATAGATGGGTGGGAGGATGGACGGCTAGATAAGGGCCAACCAGTTAAAGTTATAGGTTTCATCCCAAGGAGAATGCTGACGATGAGATCTTGAGCCATTGCTCACCACAGTGTAGATTCCAGTCTATAGGAAATGTTCCCAGAGGTTCAGAGGCAAGTACCCAAGGGAAGTGGAAATCTGCTAGAGTAACGGCTGGAGATGTGGGGCTCTGGAGTGTTCGTTGTGTGGGCAAAAGGGTTGTAAGCAGGGAATCTAAAAGCTCAACACCTCAGCTCAGGAAAGGGAGTCTGAACCCTCGTCCATTTTTGCCCTCCACCTATGGATTACATTGAAAAGGGAGAAGGAACAATTGCAGGAATATGATTTCCTTGGTTGTTGAGCATAGTGGTCAAGAGGGGCTGTGTAGTAGAGGATCCCATTATTCATATCCACACGATGTTCAGAGTACTTAGCCACGCTGAGCCTGAGTCCCAACGACACAATGGGGATAATAAGAGGACCTGCATCGAAGGTTTATTATAAAAATTCAGTAAGTTGATGATAAGAGCTAACATTTATTTTTTTTTTTAAGATTTTATTTATTTATTTGACACAGAGAGCACAACCAGGGGGAGCGGCAAGCAGTGAAACCCGAACCCAGACATTCAGGGCAGTGATATTTACAGAGCCCCGTGTATGAGCACCTGCTCTAGGCCAGGGATTTTATATTCTTTACTTATTTATTTACGTGAAAGAGAGAGCAAGAGAGAGGAGCAGAGGGAGAAGCAGGCTTCCCGCTGAGCAGGGAGCCCGATGTGGGGCTCGATCCCAGGACCCGGGATCATGACCTGAGCTGAAGGCAGATGTTTAACCGACTGAGCCATGCAGGCGCCCTGCAGTCTTCTTTTTTAAATAACACTTTAATATTTTTTAATTAGAAAGGTATAATTTTTTAAAATTATAAATTTATAATTTCTAAATTAATTTTATTAAGTAAAAAATAGTCATTAGGGACTATTTTGAAAATATAGAAACATATAAAGAAGTGTTATCCCATCACTGGAAGATAAGAGCTATTGGCATTTAGGGCATTATGGGCATTTTTCTATGCAAAAATAAATACATAAATTTGTATCTGTTTTTCAGCATGGAGACTACCCTATATCATCAGTTTTGTATCCTGCTTTTATATCAGAACCATTTCACATGTTGTTAATATTCTTTATTTTGTTAATATTCTTTATTTATTTTGTTAATATTCTTTTAAAACATTACTTTTTTTAAAGGGGAGAGGGGCAGAAGGAGAGAGAGAATCTTAAGCAGGCTCCACGCCCAGCGCAGAGCCCGACATGGGGCTTGAAACCACATCCCTGAGATCATCACTTGAGCTGAAATCAAGAGACAGACGCTTAACGGACTGAGCCACTGAGGCGCCCATAAACATGACTTTTAATGCTATATAATGCCCTATGCTATCTTTCATTTAATGCTTTCCTATTTGGGGTTACTTAGGTTGTTTCCAATTTTGTGGTTGTTGTTGTTAAAATGCATCTTCCTCTTTGATCTGTACAAGTAATAATAATAGCAATAATAATTTATTGTGTGCCTCTTACATGGCTGGCACTGCTTGAAGTAACCATTTAATCCCCCAGCAACCCTGTGAGGGAATAACTATCATCATTCCAGTCTATAGATGAGGACACTGAGAGGCAGAGACATAGTAGATATTTCATTACAATAGAAGACCTTCCACGAGGTGGGAAAACTAGGCCAAAGGGTAAGTATATTCTCTAAGGCTTTTGATAGATACTTTAAAGAGTATTTTTTAAAAAGATTTTACTTATTTTTAAGTACTCTCTAAACCCAGCGTGGGGCTCAAACTCACAACTCTGAGATCAAGAGTCACGCGCTCCACCAACCGAGCCAGCCCGGCTCCCCTAGGTATATATGTGAAGGTGCCTTCCAGAAAGGTCTGACAGTGACAAGTGACTAAATCAGCAGGCTGGCTTGGTGGCCAGACCCAGCTCTCCCTGGTATTTTAACAGCATGGTGGGCTTTGTAGTCACACGAACCTGAGTTTAAATCCTGACTCTACTATCTATATACTGGCTGTGTGAATTCAAACTTTTCACTCAATCACTCTGAGCCTGGTTTCCTCCTATGTTTAGTGAGCTAATAATCATAGTCATGTCGCAGAGTTGGTGAGGCTCAGAGTAGGCTCACGTTAGCCCTTAGAAATTTTATTACTATAATTTTGTTGCCAGGTGAACTGGGGAGACCCATATCCAGCCGTATACCTCTCACTAAGAGCTTAATAAATATTTATTATTGTTATTGTGATTATTCAAGCAAAGCCAAGATATAGGATGTGTGGTCATGTGATCATAGGCTCTGGATTCGGATTGCCTGGATTTGCATTCTGTCTCAGCCACTTTCTAGCTGAGTGACTTTGGGTAGTTTACTTGACTTCCCTGGAGCCCCCAGGCTCCTCATCTTTACGATGGACATAACTGGGGTGCCTGGCTGGCTCAGTTGGCGGAGCTTTCAACTCTTGATCTCACGATTGTGAGTTCAATCTCTACTTTGAGCGTAGAGGTTAAAAATAAAATCTTTAATAAAATAAAAAGGACATAACGATATTACCTACTTCAGAAAGTTCCTCACTTGTTTCAGCAATGAAGTTAATTACTTTAACAAAACACCAATCCTATACTTAAAACACAGTGCCCAATAAAAGATTTTATTATCTGTAGATTATTTACCTGAAACATCTGGGAATTCTGTCTCTGCAGGTCATCAAACGCTGTGATATCATACTCCTGATGGAAATCAAGGACAGCAACAACATGATCTGTCCCACACTGATGGAGAGACTAAATGGGTAAAGATGGGGCGGGGGGAGGGCTGGACCCCCTGCAGGCTCAAGGTCAAGTGCAAGGGCACCTGCAAAGCCCCGGGAACTGAAACTAGCGTGAAAGCCAGCAGTCGCCCTGACCACCAGGTCACATGGCCAACACTGCCCAGGCTTCCAACTCCACTAACTGCAGTCCTGAGAACTTTTGACTGGCTAGTTTTAATATGATAAAGCAAAATAGAGGAAACAGATGAGGAGCCAGGACAGAGAAAGAAACGAAAGAGACAAGAGGCTGAAATGAGAACTACTGTCATAAGGAAAAGATTGAGTACAAATATGAAGTTATGATACGCCCACAGGCTGGAATATTATGTAGCCATTAAAAAGCATGTTCACTACAGAATAGGTTCGAGCTAAATATTCCAGCATGGAAAGACAGCTGCAGTATATTGAAAAAAGCAGGTTCAGAACTGTAGGTAGAGTAGCCCATTTCAGTGATCACATTACACTATGCATGAATAAGAGTGTGTTTGAGTTTGCATGGGCATAGAGGAAAGAACGGGAGGATGCACTCCACACTGTTAACAGTGGTTACTTCTGGGCCAGGGGGTGGGTGTGATTGTAAGACCACTGTGGACAGGATCAGTGAAGAAATGGGGAACATTTACTTTTTACTTTATATATTTCTATATGACTTGAATATTTCACAAAAAGTCTGAATTGATTTTATAACTTCAAAAAACCCCAAAAGATAATGTCCTCAAATAATCTTTGATTACACTGGATTATATTTATGATTTATATTCGTTCTCAAAGAATAATCAGCAAAGCCACCCACCTGAAAATCACCCCAAAGTGAGTCAAAAAGGCACATTCAAGAACCGCCAGTCTATTGAATGAGAATGTCTGTGGGATCCCTGAGAATAATCTTCATCTAAATAACCTTCCCGGGTGATTCTGATGCACTCCAATTTTTAAAAACTTCTAATATAATGTTTCTTTTGTACATGCACAGTAAGATTACACCACAAACTAGTGTATACAATAATATGCACCAAGTAACTCAATTATGTCAAAAGAAAAACAAAACAAAAAACATTTAAAAGATTCAAAAGCAGTGAACCAAACGGTTGACCAAGGCTCTCTCAGAGTAAAAATTACAAGGAATTTAAATGTGATGTCTTCTATATATTTTCTGTATTTTCCAGGTTTTCTACAATGAGAATGTTATACCTCTTTTCCTTTTTCTTATGAAACATTTTAAACATCCTTAAAAGCACAGAGAAAATGCTAACAACCAACCATGTAATCTACCATCCGGTACATCTGGTCATCATTATACTTTTATAATTAAGAAAACTCGGATTTTTTAAAAAAATAAATGAATGGTCAATCCAGCCTCATTAGTGTCCAGCCTTGGACACTCTCATTTACACGGAGGCCTCTGCGGCTGGCCTCGCCCCTCTCTGGGCCTCAGTTTCTCATCTAAAAATATGTTTTCGCCTCAGTGGTTGTAGATCTGATCTTTGACAATAGAAAAGGGAGTTTAGCACAAGGGCTAGGCACCTACACTTGTCTCATACCACTTGTGTTTGGATCTTGGCCCTGCTATGCCTTTGAGCACGTTACTCAACCTCTTTGTACCTCATTTTCCCTGGCTAATAATGGAACCCATCTTCCTGGGATGTGGCAGTGATTAAATCCTGCATATAACTGGTTGGATTGTGCCTGGCACATAGTAGGGATCAGTAAGTGCTGGTGGTGTCTGTTACTAGTAAAAGGAGGAAAATTATGATGGCAGATGGTGGTCCAGAGGGCCACGTGTAACGGTTACCATCGATACCCTAACTACATGCCAGGCATCCTGTTAATCAATTTATGTGTGCTATTTCATTTACTCCCACAACAACTTTGTAAGGTCGGTACTATTAATGCTTCCCTTATAGCTGAGGGAACTGAGGCACAGAGAGGAGGGACCTGCCCAAGTTCCCCCAGCCAGTAAATGGTGGAGCTTACCTTTGGACCTGGGTCATGTCTGACTTTAAAGCCGTTGCTCTATTCTGAGCCTCCTCAGTCTTCCATAGAGGGGCTCTGGTCAGTTTTCAGAAGTATGGGAGAGCAGGGGGCTCCAAGCCCCTCCCCACAGCCAGCCTGGATTGGGTCTTCCCACCCTCACTGCTCTCAGTTCTCCCCAACCTCCCTAGACTGTGCCAAGGACTCCAGGCAGATGCAGGCCTGTTTGTCCCCTTATCCCCCGTAAGCCAGGAGGGGCCTTAGTCGCCTCACAGCTGAGTCATTGTAAGCAGTTTGCCAACCCAAAATTTGGCAGGCGAGATTTGGAACAAGGCCAGCTTTCCCAAACTGGAAGCCTAGTAGAATCCACTGTCCATACTTCTCGGGCCCCAGTGGCCGGATCTGCCTTAGAAGATGTATCTGCACTCCCAGGAATTTCTGCAGGGCCTCAGTTGGCTCCTAAAGACCCCTTCTGCTATTTTTCAACCGAACCTGAGAACATGCCACAGCTTAGATATGCCCTAGATCTACGTGTGTGAATGGAGTAAAACCATGTCAGGCTCTGCCCGGGGTGGAGTTACCAGCAGGCTTGGCAAGCACACGGAGAGTCCATTTCCCTGGTATAAATGAGGGGTACAGTTAATGGGACTTCACAGCTGTATCTCTAGCCCCCAGGACATAAACCATAGCTGATTTGAAGATTTTATTTATTTACTTGACAGAGAGAGAGACACAGCAAGATAGGGAACATAAGCAGGGGGAGTGGGAGAGGGAGAAGCAGGCCTCCCGCTGAGCAGAGAGCAAGATGTGGGGCTCGACCCCAGGACCCTGGGATCATGACCTGAGCCGAAGGCAGACGCCCAACGACTGAGCCACCCAGGTGCCCCCATAGCTGATTTGAAATCATAGTTCCAGGACTTGTGAGAAAATGTTTGGGGGTTTTCAGAGCAGAAGTGAATGTCCAATGAAAACGGTACTAGGGATCCTGCCTATGAGAAATGTTCAGGGGTAATGCAGGGACAGGGTAACCTGAGTATGAGGTCAGCCCCAGCCATGAGCCAGAGTGGGATTTGGGGCTGATTCTGACTGAATCTTCTATGGTCTCAATAATGTCCCACAGGTGCAGGCCAAAGCATGTGGATTTGGGGTATGTAGGATCTGAGCTCAAATCTCAGCTTTGCACCTGCAAACTATAAAAAATGGGTAACAAAAAAAAAATGGGTAACAATACTACCTACCTCCTAAGGGCAAGAGATAATGGCTGTAAAGATCCTGAGAGATGTCACATTCATAGTCGATGGTGGCCCTTCTCATTAGACTCTAAGGTTATGATGAATGGCAGCCTTTCTCCATGATGCCATTGGCAATATGGACACAGATTGGAGAGAGGGGAGCATGCAGCAGGGGAATGCTTATTTTTTTAAGATGCAATGTAAAATCTTTATGTTTTCTAGAAACTCAAGAAGAAGCATAAAGTACAACTATGTGATTAGCTCTCGGCTGGGAAGAAACACATATAAGGAACAGTATGCCTTTCTCTACAAGTAAGTGTAATCTCTGTTTCCTGGGACATGATTCACTTATAAATGATGACTATGAATTGAATCAAAATGCATCTTTTTTTTAAGATTTTATTTATTTTTTTGACAGAGACACAGAGAGAGAGGGAACACAAGCAGGGGAAGTGGGAGAGGGAGAAGCAGGCTCTCTGCTGAGCGGGGAGCCCGATGCGGGGCTCGATCCCAGGACCCTGGGATCATGACCTGAGCCGAAGGCAGACGCTTAACGACTGAGCCACCCAGGCACCCCGCATCTCTTTTCTTCAAAACCAAATTTGGATCTCTAATGATCTCTAACCAGTTCTCAATATTGATCAAAATAATTGCTGTCAAATTGAGGCCGAAGCAAAGCATTATCTCCTCAAACTAAAAAGTTCAAGCAGCTTCCTGACACCGAATTTGTTGGTTGACTCAGGGGCTGCCTCGTCTGCAGGGTCAGTTCTTTATCCTTCACAGTCAAGTCCTAGCCCAGGGATAGAGACCTGAGCTGCCCAGCATGGTTGACTCTGAAACTTCATAGTCTTGTCTTCTTCCTACCAGTAATTTGTTCTAAGTCTGAACATTAACTTGTGGGTGCCCCAGATAACTGGGACTGTTCAGATCACCAGCTTTCAAAGGGCTCTGGCCATTGAGAAGAATTGACAGAAACTTGTTCTCGAGCGAAAGATCCCTTGCAGGGCAAGAGCCTGCCTGGGGGGCTAATAAAGACATGTGCTATGTCTCTGCTTCCTGAATGAAGTAAGAAGGCAACTGACTCAACTGGAAGGGCTTCCTTTTTTTTATTTCTAGGGAAAAGCTAGTGTCTGTGAAGAAACTCTACCTCTACCATGACTATCAGGCTGGAGACTCAGACGTGTTTTCCAGGGAACCCTTTGTGGTCTGGTTCCAGTCACCTCACACCGGTGAGACCCACAGGTTCCTCTTGCGCATGATCTTCCTGTGATCGCATGAATGGACAGTAGCCCCGAGTGTGAGCTGGGGTCCCAGGGTTTGCACAGCATCGTTAGGGAGGCATTAGACTTGAGATGGCCATTAAGAACGTCTAATATTTGAATGCTGAGGATGTAGCCTGGCTTCTCAAAATGCCATGACTCAAGACCTCCTCAACCTGGAACCCACGTTCTGAAATCAGTGATAACTCCACTCTCTTTGGAGCATTTAGGCTGATGGAAATTATTTACCACAATTCTTCAGTCCCAATCAAATACAACGTCATTAAAAAAAAATCCCAGTGATGGCTAGCAGAGATGAACCCCCAACCTAGAGTCTCCCTCTCCCTCCCCAACCTAGAGCCTCCCTGTCCCTCCACCCCTCCCTCCCCCTCCAATCTCCTCCACAGACTGGGTGTAGAGAGGAAATCCAAATGATTGCACCTTTGAACTTAGACAACTACACTTGCATAAGCCACCAATAATTATTGATCCCTGATTAGTGCTAGGTTCCTGTAATCCTTGCAACACCCTGCAGGGGAGGACCTAGGATTATCTACACTTTACATTTGAGGAAGCCGAGGTTCAAACAAGTGGAGTCACTTGCCCAAGGTCACTCAGTAGCTCTTGAAATGAATGAGCAGGGTTGTAACCCAAGCCACTATCTTGGGTGCCCACAATCTTAAGCACTGTGCATCTCTAAATGGAAAGTCAAGAATTAATTTGATTTACAGATTGGAGCTATATGGAATCAAATATTTTTTTCAGTACCTACCACATGCCAGGCTCTGTTCCAGGCACTGGACAAGACAGACAAGGTCCCTGTCCTAGGGAAGTTATGTTGTAGTGGGCAAGACAGATACTGACCAAATAAATATATGCAGAGCTGTACATAATGCACACCCACATATATATTACACAGATATAAACAGCCTGAACGAGGAAGGTAACTATTTCTACCCTGGCTTAATTAGTACTTCAGGAAAACAAACATGGAAGAATGGTGGAGGAAATTTCCAGTAGAAAAAGAGAAGGAGGTGGGGGCTGTTAAGGGCAGAAATGCCCTTCAAAGAGCATGTGTAATAATCACCTTTGTCGTGCACATGATTCTCACTTGGCTAACCAGACAGTATTTGGAGAGCACCCCACACCTTCTCGAAGAGAGTCTTCAGCTACGCATAGCTAAACATTGCTAAACAAACCTGTTTGTCTTGAGCATCCACCTTTTCACCCTTCTCCTCCCCTCCTCCCTGAGGATGGCACCGCAGCCATGCCCTGTTTGGAATTTTCTCTCTTGTACAAGGAAACATCCTTACGTCCCCTCTATTTGAGTTAGCCATTCATTTATCATTTCTTTCCTTTATTCATTCATTCATTCAATCATGTATTCAATCAACAAACATTTTTGAGTCCCTCCCATGGGCCAGGTGCTATGCTAAGTGCTGGAGCCAAGAGGGTGAGCAAGACAGAGCTCTGGTTCCAGTGGGCCAAACTAAGAAGCACAGCAAGTAATTTCAGAACACGAAGGAAGTAAAAGCAGGGTGCATTCCATGGTGGGGTGAGGGGCCCGCCTTAGATGGGGTAGGCCACAGATGGCCTCTTCAGGGTGACATTGGGCTGTGACTTGAAGAAGCCAATCACAGAGAGCTGCGCGAAGGGACATTCCAGGGGGAGATCCCAGTGAGCACACACAAGCTCACAGGTGGGGAAGGGGTGGGGGTGTTTAGGGGGACCAAAGAGAAGATGGGGAGTGGAGTAGAGGCCTGAGGAGGAGAGGGGGGAGATAAGGCTGGTGGGTAAGTGTGGGGTCCTGAGACAGGCTTCCTGATCTGAGTCCTGACTCTCCACTGTGTGACTTGAGCAGTGACCCCCACCAGCCTTCAGCTCCTGAGTAGGAGCGGGGACCCAGGCACTGGGCGAGGAAAAGCCCAGGGAAGAGGCGTTCAGAACACGTCAGCTGCCCCTGGCAGGTGGGCAAGGCATGGTTCCCAGGCTCACCACGTTCCCTGATGCAGGCTTTCTCAGTCCCTCCTGGTGGGGGAAGGTTTTCAGATATTTCACAAAAAGCTGCTTTAAAAAAACCCATAATTTTAGAAGGGCTTTTTTTCCAGATTATAAAAGAAGCATAAACTGACAAGCCTCAATATTTTTTATATCAGAAAAAACGTTTTTCTTTAGTACAAAAGCTGAAGAGGCTTCTTATTTTTTTAAAAAGTAGAAAATAGCATTTTTCAAAAAACGAGAAAATAAAAACACCCACAATGTCAGCAAGGAGGCCTGTCTACCAGCTTTCTCTTAGCCAGGCAGTTGAGTGGGTGAAAAGAAGCTTTCATGTGCTGAAAACAGTGGCCCAATGGTCCCAAGAACATTCACATCTCAGCCACCGGCTGGACCCTCTAGAAATGAGGAGACCCAGACAGCGCAGTCCCGTTTCCCAGGAGCAGTGTTCATGGAACCTGCTCCTGTTCAGGGAAGTGTGCATGTGACCTCCGCCTCTTTCCTGTTCCTCAGTTGTCAAGGACTTCGTGATTGTCCCCCTGCACACCACCCCTGAGACCTCCGTGAAAGAGATTGATAAGCTGGCTGATGTCTACTGGGACGTGAAACGCCGTTGGAAGGTGGAGGTGATGACCTTCTCTGTCTGTTGAACTCCCATCTAGCTGAGGCAGAATCCAGTTCTGGGAAGGGATGAGCGACTCCCCGGGAGGGCGAGTGGGGGAGGACATGTGCAGCCAACCACCCTGTTGGAGCCTCATTTTAGGCCTTACCTCAGCCTTAAATATCCTTCTTGCTAAACCTGCCTGGGTACCACCCACGTGGGTCTCGGCAATTCATTCAGTGCTCCAAATCACCGAGCGAATAGCTGGTGCGAGGCCCTATGCTGAGGCTGGACATGGACAAGTTCGTTTAATGCTCCCAATAACCCCACGACTAACTACCTTTATCATTCTCCCTTTGCAATGATAACAGTGAGACACACAGAGGTCAGGAGTCCTTCATGGCAAGGGACAGACTCTCAAATTGGTTCCTGAAAAGGGAGGTGCAATTTATTGGTTCATGTAACTAAAATGTCCAGGAGTAGGTCCGGCATAGCTGGATGCAGGGCTCAGGCAAGGTAATCAGGGCTTGGCTTGTCTCTTTCTTTCCATCTCTTAGCCCTCGTTTCCTCTGGGTGGCCTCCACCTTTGGGATGGCAAGATGGCCACCAGCAGCTTCCAGCCCACCCACATAATGCGGCAAGTGCCCCAGAGTGGAGTCCCATTGGCCCTGATTGGGTCACATGTCCATCCCTGAACCAACCACAGTGTTCAAGGGGGTTGAGAAACTCTGATTCGTTAAATCTGTGTGAGCTTCAGCCCAACCTCACAGACTGAGGTGAAGGAGGGAAGTCGTTTCCCCAAAAATCTAGGGGTGCTTATCTAGGGGACTATATCCACCGTCCTTCTTGACCTCAATTATTTCCTCATCTGGAAAACAGCGATGCCACCCCTCCGTGGGTCTGAGGGTCTGTGAAAGCTCTTGGCAAATAAGGAAGTGTTCCCCAGGGCTCTTCCTCCTCTTTCCTCCTTTTGGGATGTGACTCCAGTGACAGCCCCCTCCTTCAGTCCCACCGTCCAGAGTGCAACATGAGTCAAGTAAAGTGGGGACACAGAGCTAGGACATGGAGAGCACGAGGTGTGTGATTCATTGCTTATTTGTAAAAAGCCAGGCAAGAGAAAGACTCATTCATTCCTAAAATTTTGATTTCTTCGACATTTAACAAGAATTTATTGAGCATTTCTTAAATGTCAGGCACTAGGGAGGCATTGATGGCACAAGAGTGAATAAGAGGGGCTACTCTTGTGCTGAGGGCCTTCAGGGAGGCAGATCAGCATTGAATTCTTGACTTTACCACTTGAGCCAACGAGTGGAGTGGTCTAGAGCGGGTCGCTTTATCCCTCTATCCTGTTTCCACAGGGATTAAACGTCCATTCTACCTCCTAGTGTTTATCATGAGATTTAACTTAAACTTTATGAAACATTTTTTTAAGATTTATTTATTTATTTGAGAGAAAGAGGGAGCATGGGGGAGGGGAGGAGCAGAGGGGGAGGGACAAGCAGACTCCACAGTGAGCCCAGAGCCAGACGTGGGGCTCCATCCCTGGACCCCGAGATCATGACTTGAGCTGAAATCAAGAGTTGGATGCGTAACCTACTGAGCCACCCAGGCGCCTCAACTTTATGAAACATATAATGCTTGGCCTGACACATAATGCATGCTCAGTAAATCGTGCCTATAACAATAGGAGCTGGTGGCCCCTCGGGTTAAGGATGACATCTGTCCTCAGCCGCACCCATCAATCTCAAGGAAAACCATGATCTCTGAGGTCAAAATAAAATGTTTTTGAAGAAAACTCCAAAGTCAGCAACAGCCCCAAACAATAACACCAACAAGGAAATCTGACACTTCCTCTGGATTGAGGAATATTAAAATTTTGTTCCAAAAGCTCTGTAGGGAAAAACACTTTTAAGATAGAAGGTTCTGTTGGTGTTGATATGAGGAATTCTTAATCGCAGGAAACAAACTGAGTGTTGTTGGAGTGGGGGGTGGGGTGGGAGGGATGGGGTGACTGGGTGATAGACACTGGGGAGGGTATGTGCTCTGGTAAGCGCTGTGAATTGTGCAGGACTGTTGAATCTCAGATCTGTACCTCTGAGACAAATAATGCAAGATATGTTAAGAAAAAAAAAAGAAGAAGAAGGTAGCGGGAGGGGAGGAATGAAGCGGGGGAAATCAGAGGGGTGGACGAACCATGAGAGACGATGGACTCTGAAAAACAAACTGAGGGTTCTAGAGGGGAGGGGGGTGGGAGGATGGGTTGGCCTGGTGGTGGGTATTGAGGAGGGCACGTTCTGCATGGAGCACTGGGTGTTGTGCAGGAACAATGAATCATGGTACACTTCATCTAAAACTAATGATGTAATGTATGGGGATTAACATAAGAATAAAAAAAATAATAAAAAAAATTTTAAAAAAAGGAGAAAAAAGAAAAGAATTACCAATTTCAAAAATGAAAAAAAAAAAAAAAAGAAGGTTCTGTTGGTGGCCTCAGGGCAGGGGTAGACGACTCACTCTATCACCCCCTCCCTTTCAGGCTCTTCCCACTTCCTCAGTAGAGAGAATTTCCACAGGAGTAAGTTCCCAACCTCTAAACAATAGAAGAGAAAGCATGGCACCAAAGCTGTCATACCCCGAATTCATCTTTCCTGCTTGGAAACAAAAGGCGTTGATTCATTCATATATTTATACCCTACAGTAGTTTGAGCCAGAAAGATTTGAGGGAATAAGTGAGCTGGATTCTTTTATCCCCACCTAACTCAGCATGCTGAATAATACGGACGCGGTGACCAAGAACAGGAGGGAAGGGTTACGGCAAACGTCCTCCTGCCCAGTGACAACACCTTCCCTTGTACGTCCTCACCTGTCAAATACTTATCCAAACTGTGACTCCATTTTCAACTTTAAAAACCAAGAAGAAATCCGGGCACCTGGGTGGCTCAGTTGATGAAGCGTCTGCATTCGGCTCAGGTCATGACCCCGGGGTGCTTGCTTTCCCTCTGCCCTTAGCCCTGTTTGTGCTGGTGTGCGCTCGCTCTCTCTCAAATAAATAAATAAAATCTTTAAAAAAAAAAAAAAAGAAATGAAGAAAGATCTTGTATTAATTTGCCAGGGTTGCCAAAGACTGGGTCATTAAAACAACAGAAATGTATTCTTCACAGCTCTGGAAGCTGGATGTCCAATGTCAAGGTGTCAGCAGGATTGGTTTCTCCTGAAGCCTCTGTCCTTGGTCTTCCCTCTGTGTCTCTCTGTGTCCAATCTCTTTTTATGAGGACACCAGTCATATTGGATTAGGGGCCACCCATATAACCTCATTTTACCTTGGCCACCTCTTTAAAGGCCCTCTCTCCAATACAGTCACATAAGGTATTGTGCGTTAGGACTTCAGTATATGAATTTGGGGGTGGGGGTGGGGAGGACACAATTTAGCCCGTCACAGAACCCACTGTTTACTGGGCATGGGAGGTGGAGTCATTGCTAGCAGTTCTAAGGAAAAGTATTTGGCAATAATACCCAGAAGGTGACGATTCCAAATAACTCTTTCAGAATTTCATTTTCATGGGTGACTTCAACGCCGGCTGTAGCTATGTCCCCAAGAAGGCCTGGAAGAACATCCGCTTGAGGACTGACCCCAGGTTTGTTTGGCTGATAAGGGACCAAGAGGACACCACGGTCAAGGGGAGCACCAGCTGTGCATATGACAGGTAAGACTCATCTGCCCGACTCAGGCTAGCCCATGCAGTGCTTGATATGCCTCAGGAAAGGCGCCCCCCTCAGGGCAGAGGAAGAACCCGGTTGCAGTGCTGAGTCAATTAGACTTCAGGCCCACGTATCGGGTACTTGTGCAGTGTGCAACATGCATGACCATGACTGGGAGCCCTGAGCATTGTGGCTTAGCAGTGGCTAGTGCAGGCCTAACTTCAAATCCTGCGCCTACCACCCCAGGTCTGTGACCGAGAGACTTAAGCTCTGTGTGTCTTTGCTTCTTGGCCTGTAAAACGGAGACTGTAGTCGAGCCTCATTCATGGAACCATGAGGAGGAGGAGATGAAGTAGTATATGTCTTCTCACACAATGCCTGGCAGATGATAAGTGTTCCACACATTCACCGGCTGTTAATTATTTCATCACGAAGACATACCAGAATTTAGTCACTCAAGTCCTCTGTCACTGAGCTTAGGTTATTGCCAAGAGTTTGCGAGCATAAGCACTGCTGAAATGGACATTCCATATGAGACCAGTAGAAGAGTATTTATACTTTTAAAGCTTTTGCTATACATTCCTAAATGCAAATACATACCTTTAAATAACAGCATTCTCGGGGCACCCGGCTGGCTCAATGAGCGGAGCACGTGGCTCTTGATCTCGGGGTGTGAGTTCAAGCCTCATGGTGGCTGTAGAGCTTACATTAAAAAAAACAGTATTGTAAAATCTCCCTGGGGATTTTCAGTCAGCTTTCACTTTTGCTCCTTAAACTGGGAGGTGTGGGAGGCACTCGAAGGATGTGAATGTTCCCGATCTTCCCATCTGTAGCAGAACCCGCGGCGGCTGCGGTTCCCAGAGCTCGGCCTTCCTCCAAGGAAGCACCAGATGGCTTCTGCCAGAAGACAGTTGTTCTCACTTCTCTAGTTTTGAGGTCAGGCTTTCACTTCCATCCCATGACCTCCTTTGTTCCTCTTTGGAGCTTTCAGGGCTGGTGTGTTCTTTGCAGAAGTCTCTGCTCCGGCTCCTGAGAGTGGAAAGCGCCCTAGCATTGGGGAGAGCAGACAGAGGCGGGAAGGCAGGAGCCTGGGCTCCCCGGTGCCTGCGCTCCCCCTCTGGCTTTGAGGGCTTGTCAGCAGAGCGGGTTGGAGACGGCCACTCGCCCACTAGCCCTGCTTGCACATGCCGTGTGTGCGGCCTTGGGCAGGTCAAGTCCCTTCTGCGGCCCCATTCTCCCCTGGCCAACAAGGGAGAGGTGATTGAAAATAATGAAGCAGTCGGGCTCCCTGCTCGGCAGGGAGTCTGCTTCTCCCTCTGACCCTCCTCCCTCTCATGCTCTCTGTCTCTCATTCTCTCTCTCTCAAATAAATAAATAAAAATCTTTAAAAAAAGAAAAGAATGAAGCAGAAGAACAGTGCATCACGGGGAAGGATGCTCACAGTAGATTAGGTGGGGTGGGGGAACAGGTTAAAAGAGGTATTTACTAAAAGAACCTCAGGTTTAGACACATATGCCAAAGGATGGCAGGATTACCTGTGATTTTTTCAAAGATTAATTTTTCATTTGTTCCTCTGGATTTTCTATGTTTTCCAGACCAGCATATATCTTTTATTTTTTTTTTAAAGATATTTATTTATTTATTTGACAGAGACAGAGAAAGAGAGAGCACAAGCAGTGGGAGCGGCAAGCAGAGGGAGAAGCAGGCTCCCCTCTGAGCAAGGAGCCTGACACGGGGCTCCATCCCAGGACCCCAGGATCATGACCTGAGCCAAAGGCAGACGCTTAACCGACTGAGCCACCCAAGCATCCCTCTTTTATGTTTTTTTAAAGGGGATATAAACTTCTGGGGCGCCAGCCTGGCTCAGTTGGTAGAACATGTGACTCTTGATCGCGGGGTCTGAGTTCGAGCATGGAGCCCACTTAAAAAATAAAAAAAAAA